CATCCCACCCCATCCCATCCCATCCTGTCTCCCAACAGCTGATCACTGATCTCCTCCCTCCCTTTGTCCCCCCAGCAGTCCAGGAAGCCCCTGGGGCTGTCTCCACTGGCTCCCCATGGCAGGAGAAGCATCAGGAGACACCACCCATGGTGGAACACCCCTTGGACCCCCCAGCCCTGGTGGTTACCCACTCACCGAGAAGTCAATGTCCTCTGCCCTCAGGTGGTCTGCGATGTACTGAACCCCCTGCAGGGCCTTCAAGATGCTGGGGGACAGCACCAAGCCCTGCTCTGCGCCTTCCTCCTCCTCCTCCTCCTCCTCCTCCTCTTTCTTCTCCTTGGTGGCCACACGTGGGGCGGAACCTCGTGAAGCCTTCCCAGCTTGACGCCCACAGCTGTAGCCACACTGGGTGGCTTTGGGGTGGGATTCCACAGGAGACATGTGGCTGGGGTAGGTCTTCCCCTCCTCTTCCTCCTCCTCTTCCTCTTCCTCCTCTTCCTCCTCCCACTTGTCATCCACATCAGTCTCCAACCAGCAGCGAGAGGTGCTGAGCCGCGTCCCGGGGAGGTCATACTGCCCCACCGTCCCCTCCGGGGGTGGCAGAGCTGGAGGTCTCTTCATGAAGAGCCAACGAGGGATGAAGTCCAAGAAGAAGCTCCTCACCCAGCGTGGCATGGTGTGGGTGCTGGGCGAGCGGTGGTGGACGTTGAGGACGAAGACAGTGATGATGATGGAGAGAGTGACGAAGATCATGGTGAAGAGGAGGTACTCCCCGATGAGGGGGATGACCAGAGAGGTGGAAGGGATGATCTCCGTGATGAGGAGCAAGAAGACAGTGAGGGACAAGAGGACAGAGATGCACAAGGTGATCTTCTCGCCACAGTCGGAAGGGAGGTAGAAGACCAGGACGGTGAGGCAGGAGATGAGCAGGCAGGGGATGATGAGGTTGATGGTGTAGAAGAGCGGGAGGCGCCGGATGACGAAGCAGAAGGTGATGTCTGGGTAGATCTCAGTGCAGCAGTCGTACTTCTTGGAGTTGTAGGTGCCAATGGCGTTGATGACGGCCCACTCGCCACTCTCCCAGTAATCTTTCAGGTCCACATGGTGGTCCATGTTCTCCAGGTCGATCTTGGCCTTGTCATAGCTCCAGGAGCCAAATTTCATCTTGCAGTTTTGCTGGTCGAAAGGGAAGAAGGTGACGTCGATGCTGCAGGAGCTCTTGTAGATGGCAGGAGGGACCCACTTGACCTTCCCATCGGAGAAGAGATGAGCCTTGGTCATGTGTGTCACAGCGAACTCTCCATCGGCGCTGTGGGTGGGGACAGGGATCAGGTCAGGGCACCAGGAGGTCGTTCCCCCGAGGAATAGGGATGAAATGAGCCTTGCATGGAGGTTGTGGCTTTGCTGTGTGGCCCAGTAGGAGATGCTGGAGAGATGCTGGAGAAGGGGTGAAGATGAGATGTGGTGGGATGGGATGAAGTGGGATGGGGTGAGAAAGGGATGGGGATGGAATGGGATGGGATG